CCCTGTAATCATATTAAATGAATCCAGAGTAACTTTTTACTTCCACCTTCTCCACCACTTCTAATTAACCTTGTGCAAATGATACCCTGTCATTAAGATCACTACCCCCTGACCGAAAAAGAAGGGTAGGGGAGCCAATTCTCACCTCCGTTGTTTATTGGGCCAGACTTCTTTTCACGACTCCTTTTGGACAGTATGAGATACAGCTCAAACATAAACACAAGAAACTCCCCAATGTAGAAGGAAATCACGGCATAGAGTCCTTTCGTACCCAAGTCGACTAAATCTAATCCAAGATAAATGGTAACCACTGCAAACAGAAAATTAAAGTTGGATACGTCCCGATCGTTTAAACCCTGCAGAGACAGTAACGTTCAATATATCGAGCAAACGTTGCTCTTTATTTCTGACTAGGTAGTTTCAACTGCATTAAAAAAAACCGTTAACAATAAACTTATCGATTTGTTTTTTGTCTTAAAAACTCATCTGCACATTGCTCAGTCTCTTCGTCTCTAGTTTCTGAATTCGTGGAAAGAATTCTAATGTGCAAGAACTGGTTAAATCATTCACAACAGCTGATTTACAGCTGTGTAGCCGGAAATTACCTCCAAGAATCAGTGCAGTGAAACCAACACATCTATGTGCCCAGTTAAATATGTTGCGCCTGCGTTAAAAAAAAATTAAGAAATTAAACGTCATGTTTCATCTTTATCCTACGGGATATTGGCTGAACACGATTTAAGTTTGCAAATCACAGCAATTTCAAGAAGGTCTAACATATCAAAATTTTCGATTACATTGCTTGATTATCTAATACTCGTTATAATATTTACGTTTCTCGATCGCTTAACTAAAAAAAAAATAAAACTACCGAGCCTGCATAACCATACGTAGGCTCTTTTCCCTGCAAAACAACAATTGAGACCGTCGACTTGGCTAACAGTCGCGCAAATATTTTTGAAGAAAAGGTATGGTGAGTACACTACTTTTGGCTAGTCAAATAGTAGCATCTCAAGCTAAAAACAAAAAATAATTTACAGCTTTTCAGAATGAATTTCCTTGGATTCAGATTGTTTATGTAATAGTTGAAGATGAACACAGGTACCTAGGCTCGCCAGGATGTGGTCTGAATGCTGCCATGATTGGCTGCGCAATTGCGAAAGCGAGGACAATGATACCAAGGTATGGATGTGCGCCAGCGTTCTGTTAAAACACAGAAAAATGAAAAGAAAAAATCAAGCATGAAATAAATTTTTAAAAAAATTGATAAATAAATGAATGAAATAGCTGACATATCGAGGCGCACCAGATTTGAAATTTTGTTCGCTTTGTGGGCTTGCTAAGATGCTAAGAAGAGATGGTTTACATACCTTATCCTCTCATGATTACAATGCAGTTCTATTTTTCCTTTCAGCACTATTACATGAGTTATTTTCAAAATGGAGCTCAAAAAAAATAACGAAATGTTTTTTTGCACACCTGCTTTCACTAAGCTGGTCTATCTATATGGATTAATAACATCAATATTACAATTTGATTCGCAGTTGATAACTCTGCTTACCGAAGACCACTCTTTTTTGTGAACAAATATGACAATTATTCCCGCAATTGTAAACAGGACTGTTGTCGTCATCAGTGTTCGATGAACCTGTTGAGGAAGAAAAAGAAATCGATAGCATTTTCGGCCCGGAAAACACAACAAGTGTAGAAGTATATTTTATACTTTCGGTCAAGATAAGAGTTGTTCCGATGCCGATGAATCTGTAAGGCTTATCACTGCTGCATTACAAAGTTACTGGCACTTAGAGCCGATCATTCATCATTTGAATAACGGATTACTGAATATAAAAGGGCCTCAACAAGGTTAACATCAAGCGGCATGCGGTTATAAGTGTTATAAAGGTAAATGGGAACTGTCAACATTAGAAAATTGTAGCTGTCAATTAATCAACATCATTCCCTATGTGACTTTACCATTCTGAAGAGAAGTGAGTCACTTTAAGTCTGAGAAGAAAGGCTGAGTGATCTTCGAAGTTTGCTCAGTGTTTCATTCCTGAAAAATTTCAAATTTGCCTTTTCATATATAAAAGCATGAAGTGGTATACCAACCGTAAACCAGGCCTTCTTTCCTAACAATTCCCTTGGTTCCCAGGCCTGTCGCATGTATCGCGCGATGAACAAACCCACAAAAGCAAACAGAATCCAAGCAAGTGTCATGAGGGCGCCTACAATGAGGAAAATGGTAATGAAAGTCTACTTCTAACTAAAATTAGTCAATAAATCCTGTCTTCAATGATACCGAAATATACTCTATCTTTAGGGTTCTTCGTCAGATTTGATCATTGAGATAGGAGCAGATCCTTTTCAAATACAGGATTCCATTGCTAACCTGTTGTAAATTATCATTTTAATCTAGAACTCATTCCATCATAATTTAAAACGTTACACAAAAATTACACTTTATACTAAAGACACAACTTTCAACGAACAAATCAGGCACAAGAAGCTTATCAGTTTCAAAGCAATAAGGCAGGATTGTGTGAACAATCTTTGCTTAACTTTCAGTGACTTATTCACTGTGTACTTTACCATGGACAATTAAGTTTTCATTTATGCCGCTATCCCCCCCTGATGCATCCGATGCAGATAAGCTTGTGACGTTGACCATGGAACCTGTAGACTGGCGACCATCAGTAGAGGAACCATGATAGTTAATTTCTCCATCTGAATGAGTGAGAGAAGATTGGATAATGTAACCAACTAATGACTACCCAACGGTTACAAATTCTCAGTTTTGGCAACTTCGAATAATTTAGCGGGGCAGGGTAGAGGGAAAACATGAAAACAGTGAATGAATGAATGAAGTAGCTTCACATACCAAGTATCACTGTTTGCCAGGGGACTTTGTCGTAGCCATACGCACGTTTTCTTTATTTCGTGGATAAAACTATCATACTATGCTCAATGAATTGTTTGCTACCCGCTTCCAACTTATATTTACAAATGTGAAATAAGAGTCCGGGCTTTATCTTACCGCCGTCCCCAACTGCTCCCAAAAGAAACCAGAGCTGACTCAAATCTCTCAAGTTTGCGATTCCTGGATTGATATCCCTGGAAATTCTGGAAAACAAAAGTGATCACAGACATAGATATTACAATCCATATAAAGTTTGTTTTATGATTAGCCTAAACCGGTTGTAGGCAGACATAGTTTGCGAAAAAATTTCAAGAGGTGTAATTCAAAACTAAAGCAACAGGCGTTATCGTGATGTCTTCTTTACGTGTTAGGAGACAAAAACTGTTAGGACCATGCAGAGATTTTTACCAAAACTGTCTAGTTTTTGCTTATGCGTTATGACGGGTAATTATTCTGTTCTCAAACGTCTCTTGATACCTAGATTGAACCGTAATTAAATAATATACGAACGAGAAAATTGAACGTTATAGTATCAATAAAGGAAAGAGCTACCTGCACTTGACCATTCCACCTTCATCTGCTTGTTCAAGAAACGTCACTGCTGCAGGATCCTGTACGAAACAAAAATTTTCCTGAATAATCTGGAGATGAATCTTATGGTCATTTGTAGTACGAGCAAATTTCAATGTATCATCAGCAGAAAATAACTACATTTAATTTAGAGGAACAAAAACCATTTCTATGTGTTTGAATTCATTTCGAAATTCGACAGAGGCATAAGGTGTAGGCTGGCACTTACTGGATTAGTCTTTGTAGGACGAATCTCCTTTTCGGCATAATAATGACCACTGAGCGCAGTAGTACTTTCGCAAAGAAGAATCTCTGTATCGGGCTATATAAAAAAGAAGAGGTACAAAGCGTCAAAATAATGAAAAAGAACCACTGAATTGCGAATGCACACGTCAGAACTCTCCATTTGCTAATTTCAATGATACTCTTAATGATGTTTACTCAGTAATTCTTGTGAAATCTTTTGGCAAGATTTTCAATATTTTCGAAAGTATTTCGAGTTTCTGTGGGTTTCCTTATTCAGCACCGACTCTTTGATTGTATTAGAAAACTTGCACCATCCTCTAAGCCAATCATAGGCAAAACTAAGCGCAGTTATACGTTGACTTGGCCACTGATGTTGTCCTGCTCTTGAGATTGACTGAACTTTTCGGTTCAGTTATTTGTTAAGATTTGGCTTTACGACGGACAATGACACCAATGACAATTTTGGGCGTATTAGTCACAATGAACTGTATGATACATATGTGGTTGTCATGATTTTGCTGCAAGATTTCACGACTGACTTCCAGTGCATTCTAATTGCAGCTTTGCAAAACTCATCCTTTTATTTTCTTTCATAGCATTTTTTTCAAAATTTTCAGCATAAATGAAACACGCATGATTGCATGGCGCTTATGTCCAGTATCCTATGCTGGTTTATCGCTAGACTTTTATCCTAGCCATTCTCTCTTGTCTGATAATATTACCATTCCACGGTCATTACTAAATCCTACTGCCACCCAGGTCCCTTTGCCGCTCAGCTCGAACTCCACTTTATCCCCACCCGTTGCGTTGTACGTCACAAGGAAGTTACAGTCGTCAGTGCAGGATTCTGGAAACCTAAAGCATCCTTTTCCAGATCCACAGTCATCTGTGGTAATCTAGTGAGAGAGCATCAATGTATGTTTAGCCTCAGACTATGCACTCAATAGTGTTGAAGAGCTTAGCAACTCTAACTTAGGACTCCTCTTAAATTGGAACAGGTTTATGTATTTAACATGACCTCTTTATCTTTTTCTTCAATTACAAAGACCCGTTATTAATCGGGAGACATTTTTCCCTATCCGCAATTGTAGTGAACCGTCTGTACCAGAGCACGCGCAACAGTCATGTCCTTACAATAGTGTAACCTCCCTTTCAGTTCCGACGGAGGGCAACAATACTACTATAACTTTAGTATATTATAAAGTCAGCGAAGGGACGCCGCTATTCTGAATACACATTATCTGGATCAGAGGGGTTTCCCCCAAGTTATGTCCTCCGAATACAAATTTTCCATATCGAGCAAATTAACGCTACTTTGAGTACACATTAATCAGTAAGTGTACTAGAATATACGCATGTATATGTACTTACCTCCAGAGCATGCAGGTTGTTTGACAACAGAATGAGTAGAGACGAAATCAGTAACTGGTGCTGGCGATTAAAGAGATCGAATAAATTAACTTTTGATGGTTTTTCATGGCAGTGCTCGATCGCATTTGAAAACAGAATAATAGAGGAAAGCCCCTGTAACTTTGAAAGAAAAAGTCTTTGTTACTTTATCTATTTATTAACTTTTATTAATTTTAGGCAACGGGGAAGGGATGTATTATTCTCTCTGCGAGTGAAAATGTTCTATTCTCCATATTTGAAGTAAATCTTGTTTGGCGAAGGTTCTTACCCTGAGTTGCTATTCACTTTCCGTTCAAATCGCGTCGGTACAAGAAACAAAAACTGGAACGTATTCACTGAACCGTTAAAAATCGTTAAAAGTTACGGTTTATGCAAACTACGGCGCTCATCCTGTCAAAATTATGGCAATCCAACTGTTGTGCGGGAGTGAATTAAAATCTTCGATCCAAATTTCAATTTACATACACTGAAATATGATATCTTTGAAAGGTGCCAACATCTTCGTTTTCCCAATCAAACTTTGAAGAAAGTGGAATAATGAAATTAAGTTTAGTCGACAAAGCTCGTTGAGCATAAAGTCGAAAAATTTGCATTTTTTTCCTTTGGAAATATTTATATTGACCCGTGAACACGAAACCGTAAAAGGACTGAAATTTGACATTTTTTCCCAACTTCAATGACTAATAAAGCTAAGAATTATTTCGAAGAGAAAATCACGCGATTGAAGACATGTAACATCTGATGACCGTATTCGAAGAAAACTACTGTTTGGAATTGACTTCAATACTTCTCGTATTCAAATGTCGGTGATGAACTTTTGGTCATACAAAAAATGCATATTATCGAGATCGGCAAAACTTTCCTTCTCTTTAAAACACTTGGAAATATGTAAGTGTTGTTCTACTTACCTTGGTTGAGATCACCATTCTTGGGATCGTGCCTTTCTTCGAAACGGAACAGTTCTGTTATTCTAGTACTGCGATTTTAAGGACACCAGCTAGTCACAAAAAAAAATGCCTCCGGTATACTGTGTGCGAACAGCCGAACACATTCACAACGAAGTACAAGGAATTTATTTTGAACGTAAATAAGTCCGTCTTAAGGCTATGCCTATATTATTTTCTATTGTCATGGAAGCGAAAACAAACGAACAAAAGCATTGTCATCACACGCTTCCTTTTACTACTTCAAGCTATTATCAGTCTATAAGTCCAATATCTTATTTCACTTTTTGTTAGATTTTTTGTTCAGAGGTTAGCGCTACATATATAGGACTGAAACGAAAATTGCGAAATTCAGCACCGATAATGCTTACTGCCCTTCAAACCAAGTCCTGATGCAAAATCATGACGAGGCATTTTTTTGTTTTTGTTTATATTTCTTTAGGGTAATTTATTCAGCCTTGAGTGTATTGCGTGCGAGTCAATTTTATAAACAAAAAGATGACTAATCTCGAGATGATGACGTCACACAAAGAATACTTCCTGCGGTCGGTAGTTGGGTTAGTGACGTGATGACTCATCAGTTAGTAAATGTCACTCTTTACACTCTAGTGTGAGTTATGCTAATGATAAAGGCGATGGACTTGCATATGCTTAGCGCCAGTTTGTGTTTTAGAACTCATGTAAAAATTTAGTTCAGTATCGAAGCATATTTTACTTCAAGAATAAAACAAGGTATTAAACGCAGCTAGTTCATTAAATGTTCCAAATTTAACCTTCTATTTATGCCAAGAACCAAATCTAATCAATCGTTTCTTGCCCAGTTGGCACCTAATTTATACAAAGAAGCTTTTTGTGACATTTCTAACAAATCGTGTAACCCGTGCCCAAGCCTCGTTCCCACGCGTTCTCTGTCTCATTGTCCGCCCGGAGTCTTTGAAAAGGGTCTCTCTCTTTTACGTCATGGCTAAAAGAGGAGTCAAGAGGAATTAGCTAAACCAATGAGTTGCAATCGTCGCCATTTTTTTAAAGAATGTTTTAAGTATTATTATTGAACGATGACGTCAGTTGACTCTAGCTAAAACTAAAGCACATACATTTATAAGTACATATAGAAGAATATGAAACTAACACCACACGCTTTTACAGACATTGCCATAAAAGACAATGTTAGTTTCAAGCTACAGATTATTGAGCTAGAGTTTTGTATCAAATTCCAAATCTTTGTCTCGTTCTACGCTTTCTTGATTTTTCGATCTACGGATTTCCGTGATGGCGATATTTTCTGCAAACTCCATTCCTTCGAATGCAAAATTTTTGTGAGGAACAATGTGTCTTGTTTGAAGGGGTATTGTTTCTCTTACTCTGAAGACGTCTCTCAGTCCTTGCCGAAATTTGCTATTGAATATAAAATATATAATGGAATTAATCGCAGCATTTGTATGAGAGATCCAAAAGAAGAGGAGCGGAACGGGTGCTAGGAGAGCGCAATACTTTGAGAGACTAAGGACGCTTATCAAATGGTTTACATGGGCGAAAAGCCAACAGAAAGCAAACAGAACAACGATGGAAACTAACAATTTAAATATCCTTTGATTTTGCGCGCTTATCCTCTCTTGTGTCTCACTGTTACCAAGCGGTCTCCTTTTTCGAAGCGAAAGACCGATTATAACACTTGTCGTTCCCAACAAAATCAAAGGGAGTAGATATAATAACAAAACCTTGCCGCATTCCTCCAACGTGCTGTAAAGTAGATGCTCCTCTGGATCGTCGCTCCATACTGACCGACATATTGTACTTCCGCGCTCACTCTCTCTCGTATCCATCTTGTAGAGACAGGGAACACCCACTAGGACTGACACTATCCAACTCAAGGCTATACATTTTTTCGTTGTAGATATTGGATTTGTCATTACGTGTACAATTGCCATATATCGATCCACTGACATAATCACGAGCGTGGAGATTGAGAGACCGATTGAAACAGACACACTGAAACATACAAGTTTGCAAGAGATTTTACCTCCGTAGCCCGAAATCCAGTTTACACCAACAAACATGAATAAAAGAGACGTGATCATTGAAAAACAGACATCCATAATGTCTGCCACAGCCATATTGATAATAAGATGATTGAATGTAGATTGTCGTAAATATTTGCACGTCCTCACCAAGTATATAACTATGGTATTTACGGTGCAGGCTGCGATTAATAAGACGACGTAAGCAGTTGTCAAAATAGCCTTCGTGATAAGCCCAGGATGGAGTAAAAGGCAACTCTGTGGAATGATACTATGAGCTTCTGCGTTGAAATTCGACTGGTTCATAACTGGTTGTAATCTGAGTATACAGAGAAGAGAAATGATTTCCCCTTGTTAGTTTATTTTGGAATGTGTATGTGAATGATTACAACCCTATTTTAAGATTTTGGCAGATCAGTAGATCATAGCAGACTTTTGGAGGTGTCTACCATCTGTGCACCTTTTCAACATGCTTCCTTTAATCTGCGTCTACGCGATGCTTGCTTCAAAATTAAACTCTCTTGATTTTGATTTCTACTAAATTTTGGCCTTAAAGCAGCTTTCACGGCTTATTACTTAGCCTTACCGTGGGCGGATATTTAATGACTCTCGGCGCTGAACTCAGAGTCTGAGTTTTCAACTCACAGTTCCGCTATTTCAACATTGTTCTACTACGGTGTAGACATAAAGAACAGTAGAAGAGTAAAACTATATTTGATTCACGTTGTATGCTTTCATTCCTTTGTTTGCATATTCTTTTGGTAAGCGAGACGAACTGAGGTGAATTTGACCTGAGGCATGACGACTTGAGGCAAAACTGCCCAAGAATGACTTGCAAGGCGAGACGACCTAAAGCGAATTTGACTTGGGACGAGAAAATCTGTGGCGGAAATTGCCTTTGGGGCTAAACGTCCCTAGGCGTCGAAGAATTGTTCAGTTTATGAAAGATCTTGAAGTAGTTACAGCCCTAAATCATTCGAGTTCTTTTGGAAAGGATTTCATTAAGTTTAAGAGTAAAAATAAAAATTTCATTCACCAGCCTAGGTCGGTCCGCATTGGGAAAAAGTGTGCCAGAGGTCTCGATACGGACCTCCCGGCTGGCGAATAACATATATGTATTTGCGTCAGCAGGAGAGGTTTTGGCGAAGCACATCAGCCACATCGCTTCAACAGAAGATGCCGGTTTGCATCAAACAAATTATGGCGGGCAAACCTTCGAGCGTATTTTTTTGTTTGCTTCAAAGTATCGTTTACGATCAAATGGAAGAAAAAACCGAAAAAAAAGGCGTCACCGTTTCACTCATCGGCTCTACGTATGTTTGTCTTTGTCGGATGACAGACCTCCAGTTTTTAATTTAACTCATTTTAATTGGTAACATTCTCATTTCTGGAAATGCAGTGACGGGCAATTGATTGGGGGTGTTTTGCTTGATAACAGCCTCCTCGGGCAAGGTTTTTTTGGCTTTCCCCGCACCCTCCCCTACCGCCGCCTCTATCTCCAAATCAAACATGGCCGGTAAACAATAAACAATGAATAAACAATCGCGAGCTTCTTAACGTTAACTCGTTGCCTGCTTAAGGTAATCAAGTAGCATTGCCTGCAGTTACATGTACCTGAGGGTTCTGATTGCCCTGTAATAATTATAAGTGGCATACACTTAAAATATCCAAACACTTTTACAGTATTTAATAAAAAGTGTTATTTTTGCATCATTCTTCGAAAAATATCGCGATGACATTATTCTAGACCAAATCAGGTCAGGTTTTGGTTCCAATGATCTGTGCAGGAACTGTTAAGTTACGTGAAGACTGATTGTAGACAATGTACATGATTTAAACTGGTTCTTTCTCAGCTCTTTCCATTGGCGAGCTGAGAGTAACAAAGCTTATCTGATACGTTTTCTCACATATTATGTTCGAGTTGATTTGATTGAGCTGTTTTCGACATAAATTTATATTCATCGTTGACTTGCTACTTACATGAACTTACCTCGTGGTTTCTTCATTGAATTTAAGTTCTCACATCATTGTTTCTCGGATCTGCTTGTTTCATATAAGGTAGTTTATTGCTAAGCTAGGTTACACAAACAGAGAAATTGAAGTCAGTTAAAAACAACCTTTACCTTCCTCCGTGTAAACAGTCCTCTAGAAGTAAATTTTTTGCGCCAGTTTTGTCGAATCAGCTGTTTCAGAAAGGTTCAATTGTGGACGGCGAATTTGTAAGCATAAAAACTGTACATAGGTTAAAAGCCATCATGATAAAAATATACCTTTTCATCCAAGATCTGAGGATTTTATCTCTTGAAATTTAACTTGCTCTTTCCTGGTAGACACTTTAAGATCTCCGTTGGAAAAAATTAATTGTGCTCTTCATTCAAATTTGAGAACAAACCGCACCTGGCGTACTTAACAAACAAAACGACTAAAAGGAGGATGTTAAAAAAAATAGAAAGCAACTCTTAGGTACTCGTATAATTTGGATTTTTATCAAGGCTGTGAAAGTTGATTTTTGTTAACCACTAACCTCAGTAATATCCTTTAACGTGTTTACACTCCGGCACGGTCACTTTTGGTTTTTTTTTTTTTTTTAAGATGGATCTTATCTCTCACTATATTGACCAAAACAAATTAAACTTTATGTCATCCGATCATCCAGTGGTGTCAAAGGGATAAAAAAAGTAAAATTAGAAATGCCACTCAAACGATTCAACAAATTATAGTAGCGATCTTTATGTTCATAAGCTTTTTTAGTTTTTCGTTAAATAGCTGAAACCTGCAAAATGTTACGTGAAACATTTGTATGGGCTATCGATGTTAAACTGCTATGTTGAGCTGCGCAAAGAAACCCCAAACTTCACAAGCGACTTGACATTAATTTAAGAGGTATCAAAAATTGTATTCATGAAAAGGTATTTAAGCACGCACTTCAATAGCGCTGCAATTATGAAGTGCTAAGGTAAGTTTGAGTTTATAGTGTAACTCGGACACCAAACTTCAAGTTGCCCTGGCACTTTTAGTAATCCGCGTTTTCTTTTTTAGAAAATCACGATATCTTCTCCGTTGGGCTGATGCGACTCTTAACTTCAGCACTTAAACTGAAACCGCGCAAATAATGCGACGTAGTTTTAAAATAACAGAAATAGCAATTTTTAACTGTTCAAAAACCTTTCCTGGCTATGAGTTGCAGCTTCACTATATCGATCTTGAAGTTGGCGTTTTCAAGTGGTAACCTAAGAAATTAAATTTATCATACAATCGTATTCCCATTGGTGAGTGGCGACTTCGCAAATAGTTGAAGCTAGTATGAAACACTGTTCAAAGTATACTATACTATCCAATAATTATATTGATAATAATAATGATTCTGATGATAATGATAATTATCATTATTATTATTATCATTATTGTTATCATTACAGGGCGATAGGATGGAAATAGAAAAGATGGTGAACAGGAAAAAAATCCTGTAATCTCGGTAGTAATAGGAGAGTCTTTCATAGATTTTCATTACTCGAAGCCGCAAATATCTCACGGAAGGTGAGTTGATCTGAGGTCATGGAGATCTGATGGATAGGCAATGGTATGGAAGACCCGTTATCGAAGCTAAGAATGTGAACCTGTTAAGACTATAAAAATACTGATAATGATAATATTAATAATAATAACATAATTAACATAATAGTAATCATGATGATGATGATGATAATAATAATAATAATAATAATAATAATAATAATAACAATAATAATATAAATGGGCAAAGTTATGATAAGCAAGGGCTTCAGCCTACCACAGGAAGTTGGACGCTCCCACCCTCCTTAGTCTGGGGTAACACCTTTAGTAAGTGCTAGCAACCCTTAACCACCCTTAGGCTTGTTAGGGTTACAACTACTTTGAGCGAATGAATCATGCCGCATCGCTCGTTGCGCGGATTAACAAGGAATACATCCCTCACCGAGGAATAATAATTTATTTAACACTTGTAGTGCACATGCTGAACTCACAAAACAGAACTATATCTATACCCCTATAACACTGGCTTTTTTATCTTTAAACCTTTCGGTTTATTGACACGGAAGTTCTATTTTTTGCCTGCACGCAAACTACAGTAATGTTTGATTAACATATAAACTATGTAGTTTTATTATGAAGGGCATTTTGTATTTCTAGTTATACGGTATCATACACAACTATCTTACTTTACTTTCGAACTGCTTCTTTCCCAGTCTGTCCCTTATGTATTAGCTAATTGATCTTAATTCAGTTCTAATAGGTTTCCACCCCCGTTGGACCAATGGGTGACAATGGATCCTTTTGATTTCTTGCATTTACCAGCACCATGCACTTCATTTTATTTATCAAGGACCATCACATTTCGGACTCCCAAAAGGAAGCGTTTATCTGGGATTTTTGAGGACTTGCAAAGTGCTTGGGAATGTGATATCACGCTGCATCGAGTGATGGTGCTGTTAGTCTTATTCTTTAATATTCAATATTCGTATTCAGTAATAAGTAATAAGTAATAATAATAATAATAAGTAATCCTATAGTGAACTACAATTCAATGAAAACGTCTTCATAGTCCTCATCATTCTGATGTAATGAGAAGCAGTTGAGGACTTTCTAAATTATCTTGAAAAGTACATTTAACAGCTTTCCCTCTCACAATCTGGTATCCAAACTGATTGTACTGATGTTGACGGGAGATCGAGATTGAGCGATTTCTCGGGAACCCGCCAACTCAACATTTGTAATCAAACTTGGCTGTGACGAGGTTCTTGACTGAGTTTTCTTAAAAGGGCCTCTTTTTCTTAAATAGTAAAAGATTCCTTTCACTTCACTCCGCAGATTTTCGCTAAAGGCAATGAATAGCCAGGGATGAATTGCTGCATTGGCATGCGCAAACCAGAAAAACAGCCCATGGACAACTATGGGAATATTATCGTAAATGTCGCCATAAAAGATTGTCATTATGTGGGCGACATGTGCAGGAAGCCAGCAAATGGCGAACACGGCAACTGCCATAAGCAACATCTTAATGATTGCATTGCGCTTCTTCTTTTGCCTGGTATACGCTTCTTGATTGACAGTTCCAGGTGGTCTTTGTTTCCACAGGAAGTATGCAATTGACGAGTACAAGACCGCCATTATAAAAAGTGGTATTGCATAAGTGAGGACGACTTTACCGATCATATCTGCTTCCTCGAAAATTTGTGCGAGCTCTTTGTTTTCGTGCCATTCAGTGGTACACTCGGCAGATTCACCTTCTTCCTCTATCAATTTATGTTTGGGAAGTTCCCCACTAAATATCAAGCTTGCAAGCAACCACACGATGACTATAGAGCGCACCACCGATCGAGGTGATAACGGCCTTCTTCGGATACATACGATAGCCAAATACCGGTCAGCGGCAATGACAGTGAGAGTCCAGATGGACACACAGATGGAGACGACAGACAGGAAAGGAGTGAGTTTGCATAGGATGGACCCTACAACCCCTGATATCCAGCAGTCTCCACAGAAGAAAACTGGCAACGTGAAGGCAGTGGAAGTTGTCACATCCAGGAGATCAGCAACAGCCGTGTTGAAGAGAAGCCAGTTAAATGCGTTCTTTCGAATGTTGTTGCGGGTGCGCACGAGATGTATGATAAGCGAGTTTCCCACCAGCGAAAACAGACAAATAAAGGCGTATGCACCGATCATAATTATTCTATCGACCTCTTTCAAGTTTTCGCCGTGCCCATCATCGAATTCTTCTTCGCCAAGAGTGGTGTTAGAATGACTTGTATTATTCATGGCTTTCAGTTGACAACCTAGGAAAAAAAGGGATGTCTTGAATTTTGTGATCAACTTGTTACGTAACCAATCTCATGATAATTATAATAATTAATCATAACTTATGGAAAAGAATATTCGAATGGCCCCTTAGATTGCTTTCCAATTTGGTCGAGTTGTTCCAGGTACCACCCACCCTCAGTACTGGATGTTTTCCACAATGTGAAACCCTGTATTCGCAAATCCAGGCTGTTGCACAGCGTCCTCAATCAACTGAATGGAATGAGGCCTATAATAAGTTGAGGTTATCGAGCGGATTATTTTTTCCAGTAATCTCTGGGCTAAATACAAATCTTTTTTCATAGTCCATAAAAATTGCGAAAAACAATTTGGCAAACATCGAGCCATCCTGACCAAAGAAACTTGGCAACTAAAGCTTATTCTTATGTACGAACAGAATGACACATCAAGTAGTGGGTTATATACATCTATCCATTTCCCTCAGCGTAGCTGATAGAAAGATTTGGCATGGTAGATTTTCGTTCCATTTAAATGCTCAGAGCTGGATACAGTTGCATTAAATATGGCTAAAGAGAATCTCAGAAGGGAATATAACTCTTTAACTCCAAAGATCGCATTAGTAATTCTCACAGTCTGCCTTTCCATTCATATACTGGTAGTTCGAAGAATTAAGTATTGGATCAACTACTTACCCCTTAGTTTTTTTTTTTTTTACTCTCATCTCCTTTCTGCTTGATATTGTATTGATATTGATGGGAGAAATTCTGTCTTGGTCAATCCTGGGAGTTAAAGGTTCAGGGACTCACCACTTAAACTGCTTTAAATAACTGCTGAATACCTTAGCCTATTATTTCATTCCACAAAATAACGTTTTTCTATGTTTTTAGTGATGTTGTGAAACCGACTGACAGGCTTTATCAAATATCATTACAACAGAAACATTCTGCCGTGTACTTACATCACAATCAAAGCTCACTTTTTGCACTGGCTCTGCGGTACTTAGGCTGAGACCGTGCTAAATTTATGTTTGTTTGCTAATTGGAAAACTTTCGCCAGATTGATTTCCATCACGGTTTTCGTGTGAAGAAAAACTCACCTTTAGGGTTCAGTCTTCGCCTAGAGAAGGGTACAATTGTTGTTCAGGTAATAATTATGACGATGGAGGCTTTGACTTTCTTATATGAACTTATTTTACGACTTCCTATTAATTTAAGGGAGGTCCTGGCTTCCTTACTGAAACTAAGATAAAACGGTTTCCGAACAATTAACACAACATGTTAATTTCATGAATTCCACTTAATGCAATAGTCTTATATCAATAATATCACCTGAAGGCAAGGTAAACAATTTTAATGTCTGAACCAGAATTTTCCTCAAGAGCTGAAGTTAAAAGGACCCTACTGTTTTGTTGGTAGTATTTTTATCCCCGTCATCTCGTGGCGTGTTAACCTGACTCGTAAAATGCATTCACTCGATAGATTTTCCTTTTTCCTTTTCTATTCTGGGTGAAAAGATTGGTTTCTCCTACCTCTCTTTTTTGAGTAAAATACCGCGTGATGTCGTGCTTCCGAAGCCTAAAGCTCCAGCAAAACTAATTTATTATAAGTCTAGTAGATGTAGTTTCTTCCAGAAAAAACCAATACCTTACATAGAAGAAAGGATGTTAAACTTTAAATATATTCGGCGCAATCGAGCATGTTGAATTCAGAAGTACCTTTGTTTCCTGAAACTTTCCATCAAGACACTCTCTCAAACGATCTCAAAAAACGTGGCGTGAACGGAAATAGAGATTTGCTATATCAATTGATATGTTCCTCTGCAATCCTTCTGATGATTACCTTTGTGTTGAGCAGCAAACATCGCTATCGGCTGACATCTTAGCATTATTAAAAGGCAAAATTTGCATTTCTATTTCATTTGTCGGGTAGCTTCAAAGAATTCGAACCCACAGTGTGCGGCGAAAAATCTTTATCAATTCAACGATAATCTCAGCTGAGGAAGGAAAGAGCACGTTTAATTTTACTTATTTTACTTACGTAACAGATATTTTTATCTAATCTTTGAGGATCAGTTTTAACTGTTAGAAATGTTTAATAGTAATAGAAGCAAATTGGTTTAAATAGTATGCAAAGAAAAAATATTATCGCACTGGGAAGTGTTTAATTAGCAAACAGAAGAGTTCTTTTGAACGCCCAAAAACGTATGCCCCCACTGAAGAAGGAAAAGGACGTGCTGTCGGCTTCCTTTATTGGTATTGAAAAATAAAGTGAGTTCCTGCATAAACTTAACTTAAATCTTCCAAAATTTAATAAACCGGATGCTAGAAGGAGGCCTTACGGCCGTTTTACGACTTTTCACGAAACAACAAACAGATTAAACCAGAATTAAAGACGGTGAAATGAACAACAGGCAATTTATAACACCGCAATAGAATGAAGTGAAAGTGGAGCGTGATCCTAAAAAGATTCTTTAATTTAAGTGTTCACTGATTTTTGAAGATTTAGAGGAACAATCTTTGATCACCTTCTGATACTCATTTACCTATCGGCTATCCAAACTGATTGGACTAATGTCGATGAGAGATCAAGAATTAGCGATTTCTCTGGAACCTGCCAATTCAACACTTATAATCAAACTCGGCTGAAACGAAGTCCTTAACTGAGGTTTCTTGAAAATGCCTCTTTTTTTTATTTGTTAAGATACCTTTTTACTCTCTATGGGCGTATGAGTGAGGAACGATGTTTTATACCGAAGATAGCCTTGAAGTAGCATTTTTTAAGGGTAACTTCCTAAATTTTGCCTTGAAATTACACTATAGATTCAGATCGGTAGAGGCATATGCAGCCTTACCTTTAACAAAAAAAGCTGCCGAAGTAATAAAAAATACAATTACAGGAAAATGAGGTGAGCACTACGCAGCTTTACTTACCACCTGTGACATTGAAAAGAGTCAGTTTTCTGTCTTTTCTACAATGGTCGTTATCATGATGAAAATTCCTCCATATTGATAATATAATTGATCCTCAAGAAGTTGACGTTTTCCTTGACATCCTGTTGACTAATCAGTCACATAGCATCCACCCCATGCTTCGCTTTCTGTTCGAAGACACAACCTTGAAAAAGGTTGTCTTCTCCTCATTCTTCGAAATGAATCAGCAATACACGTAGCAGATGACATAAAATTTTTTAAATGATTTTCGAAACACTCAGGTGCTTTAATAAACGCTCAATATGATATCAACTGCGCTGAAGAACTGTGGCGCTTATTTATCTTGATCGATAGTACATTTGACGATTGATTTATTCTCAAGGTACATTATTGTTACACGCTCACCATGCATAAGTTTTTCTTTGTGAGGGATGCTTGAGGTAAGGCCGCAAGCGACTCTTATTTCTCTCTTAAGTGCTCCTTTTAAGTTATGTCTTCTTATTTTTTTAACGCATTTTTACTCGGAAATGGAAAGTTGAGATTATGAATACATGCGTGCAAGCCATGTTTGCTTTACCATGGCGTCGAGTTGGCCTTGTAGAATCAAGCCAATACGACCACTTCAACGGCGTCTTCGCTTCTGTTTTTAATAAAGTTCATACATTTTTTGAAATAAAACTAATACGGGATCATTGTGTATGCTATAGCAGAGCTATTAATTCCATTTGGACAAATGTACCCTAAGCAAAGTTATTTTTTCGCACGGTAGATTGATAAGTGTAGCGCAGCAGAATCTTTGCCGTGCTGTGCATGGGTTCGAAGGCGATCAACGTTTCCTCTAGCTTCCCATTTATTGCAAATTTCAGGGGGTTTCCTAATGTAGTAGCCGCAAATTTGAAAGACGTATTTTTACCACTACTCGCAAATTAGTGTACAAGGAGTCATTTTTTTCCAAAAGAGAATTAATAAACCTCAAAATTTTTAGCTTTAAATTTTCGGAGCTGACTTACCTTGAAGATGGGATTAGACTGCTGTTTGGCTGTTGCTGTTCATTTCTTTATGTTTGCTTTTAATAGCTAGAGCGCTTTAAGTAGATTTGTCATTTGTCATTTGTCATTTTGCAATGTAATGAGTACATTTATGGTGTTCTTTCAAACGAGATGTTTACCGGCAAAAGTAAATGTTTTTCAAAGTATACAAGTTTTTTCATAAAACCGTCCAATTTTGTAATTATACTCGTGGGGTAAGGTTTTTGAAGATAAATTCTAATCCAATGGGCGACATAAAGGCCGCAGAAAGACAAGGAATCACTTCCGCCCTGCATTTGTCTCGCGAAGATTTATCTTACCGTATGCTTCTTTAGAAGTTTTCCTCGTGGGAGTTTGGAAAAATTGAAAGAACCATTTCTACAGATAATATAATTTATTTCCTCAGCCCTCTTTTGCTTTCATAACATTGCAAAGAGTAAATTTTTAATTCCGCTGAAATCTACTGTAGTTTTATTTAGCCCGTACTGCTCTCTCTATTTAGAGCTATTTTCATACAGATTGGAGATTTTCTTGTCCAGCACGAACAAATATCCCCGGAGACCGCTCTCTTTGATCGTGGTCATCATTGTTAGGCACGAAAGCCGTTGAAAGAGGTGCTCGAGATTTTCCAGAAACATCCAACATACATGCTTGGTGCTGCTCGACTAAGAAGTTTCTCCGGCGAAAGCGCTATTAGAAGTCATTTTCCTCTAAAGACATCCAATTCGATTAAACTCTAAATATCTGCTCATACGTCAAAGATAATTTTGCTTCTATTTTTCTTCAATTTTCCTTCAATTTTAAATGTTAATGTATGGCCAGCACCCTAGTGTTTTAAACTTAATTTAGGAAGTAAAACCCTGTGTCCGAAGGAAGAAACGGCAAAAACCAGCTGAATCAGATGTTGAAATAAAATTCAGTTCCAATGTGAGCATTTTACATAAAAGTACAGGGAATACCCAACTATGCAAACGTTTTTTTTTTTTTTTTTGGGGGGGGGGGGGACACGTTGAAAAGGAAACAAGAACCTGAAAGGATAGGTTCATTACACATATGGGAAGTCTTGTTGTACATAAGCTGAGTCCAGACTTATTTTCTACTCTGCCTAACTCTTGGTCTGGTGGTGTTATATAGAGAATAACACATGGGCGCATGTAGATATGGAATTTCTCTTCGAGTGTTTAAGTCAATAGCCCTTTACTGACAAGAAAAATCAACTTTATTTATGAATGAAAATAAAAGGATCAACAATCCCTGGATACAAATCGTAAAGTACGTTGACGCACTCTAGATGAAAACATGCGTTGATTCACAACAAAAACAAACAATAGGCCTAATTTTCAATGTACAAAATTCTTAGTTATTGAGTTGGTCCTTACCGACAGAAGAAATCTTTCAGGTACACGGCCAAAATCGACCTGTGGTAAATCTTCTAGCTGTCGATTTTTTGTTCTCAGCTGCGAAAAAATGAAATTACCAAAGCCATTGAATACGAAACTTTCGGTTTTTCTTTTTTGTATTTTGTGTTTTCCCCCTTCTAGGAAAGTTTGAACTTCACTGTCTCTAAGTGGAACGGATTTTTTAGTGTTTTAGCAGCCATAATCCGAAAAGATTCGACAAACGCCCATGGATTGATAATGGTGAAAGGTTTGCCGTTCATTCATCAACCTGACGAAAAAAATGCTACAGGTTCATACATTTAAGTTGTAGATTTGTTGGGTTCAGTACATCGTGTCGCACCAGATTGCACTAGGTCGACTTGGAGTCACTACGCGAACGGATTAAACCGTACCAAGTGTACTGCGATGTTCTACAACAAATTTGGAAATCATTTGTGAGCAATGCAATGAGCTATTCTGCCGTCTATGTGGAACATTAAGGAGACCCGAAAAGAAAAATGATCCAGAGGTAGATGCCTCTGGATCAAGCTCTCGTAAAATCCGCGTGACCATCATGTCTCAAGGAACAGCAATATTGTGGTTTCTTATATACCAAGCCTTTCGCTCAACAAAAGGAGCACTGTGATTGGTTGATTCTTGGTCACGTGTCCCTGATAAAATTCAAATCTATCCCGACCAGGATACAATTGCACAGTTATTGCCTGTGCGCCAAATAAAACAGCATATGTTTTTGCCATATGATTGTTTATACTTTTAATGTATGATTCAGAGGGAAACAGTTAGTTTTGTTTTCCCTCGAGTCCTGATGTCTTGCTCGACTTTGTCTCGAAGGAGTTGCTACATGCTCCTTTTTGTCAAAGAAAAAATACCTTACTTGCAAAAAGTAATTGAGAAAATTTAGTTTACCATATTTGGGACGAAAAAGTGACCCTTACATGATAATGTTTAGATAATTAATGAGACCGTGAGCAGTTCCTTTTTCATCCACCTGCTAACAGATGATTGAGAAGTCTTCTATTGCTTTTTATAGAAAATTAAAGGACTCTTTAATCTACGAATAGTTTCAACAGACTTCTGCTAATTTTTTGCCGAGAAATATACCTAAATTGCCGGTTCATTTCACATTCAAATTTCTGGCACACAATCAGTGCACGCAAATGAGCCGGAAATTTTGACAAGTTCTTTTCTATATATTTACAATTACTTATAAGACTCGTATGCAAACTTAGCTTGTTTGTTGTTCAGCATCATAATCAGTACCGCCAAATATCAATGACGTTAAGAAGATCGAAACGTGGTTAACTTCCATCGTTTAAACATGCGTAGTTAACACGTTTACTCAATCTAACAGATTACCAATCGGCCTCTGATTCAGGTGATTTCTGTGAGTAGTTTTTGAACGCCATCCTTACTGTTTTCGCTAATTGTCGAACGCCACAGAGCATTCCATGATTCTGGTAAGAATATTTTCTTAGCTTTTGAATTGGGATTTGCTTTTGAATGGAAACTTTCTTGCAGCATTTTGTGTTAAAGATAGTTACATCTTAATTTTGAACAGTTTTGTGTTGCGTGTGTGTGGATGTGCATTTGTGTATGGGTTGAAAACTTATTTATTTCATGTGACGCTGTCTAAGGTACCTTCAAGTCAAACAATAATAGATTACAATGATGACCATTTATTTACGGAAGTCTTACATACAGATTCCGCATCAAATAAGATATAGCTCACTTGAATCAGTCAAATTACAAAGCTTAGCGCCTTTCTGGAGTTGAGATGTCTCCGCCACCAAACTCACCAGCCAGGTGTTAATCTCTTCTTCAAGAATTGAATTAATTTTTTTTCGCTTTTAATTTAGTAATGACGACAAAAGAAAGATCTTAACAATTGTATATACTTAATTTGGCAGTTTTCGTATCTTGCAAATCGCTGAGTCGAGATGGAGTCATGAAAACCTCGAAGTTGTCTCACAGATCATCACCTTAATCAGTTATGATAACACACCCTTAGAGTAACTTGTCTCTCAGAAATCAAACAGAAGAGTCTATAATAAGGTTACGTTTAGTTTATGAACGCATGTATTTTAATGAACAACGTGGTTTTAATATTCTGTCTCTCGACTTGAAGATATTGTTTACAGATAATACAATAAAGTCGGAGCATATAAGCAAAGCAATCTTCCCAAGATACTACCTCAATTTTCTTTGCTTTGATCACTGAACAACCGATAATCGAGAAGAACAGCCGTGTCAAAACGTTGAATAAAAATATGAAAGCTTCACCTGATAAGGAATAATTAATCATTTTACCTTTAGCAAATAGTTGTAGCTTGTTACCTGAGACCATGGAAACCCACGATGAGAATTAGTTTTGGGTTTTTACAGCTTGGTTTGTCTCACCTAATTATAATGGCAATCGTATGAATCAAATGAAACTGAGCTTTGTAATAACAATAAAACAAAGACGTCTGGCCAGTATATCAAATTTTTTTTGAATATATTACTTGGCTGAGTAACTTCTGTTTGCATTATACTTTCATCAACAGCGCATGAAACTTCTTAAATCTTGCGCTTGTACTTGCTAGAGGTAAATGATTTTGTTTTTTTGTGTAGGAAGATATTCAGTTAACCAATTGCACATATCGAGAAAGAAAACTATGATTTTAAGGATATGGTTTAGAGACAATGATTATTATGCATGTTTCAAACTTTGGCGCTCACATTTGATAGCGCCGGAAATTAACCTTGTCACAGTGACTAGGAAGCAATTTCTCCGTTCTATATCAACATATTGTCAAGCAAGAGGATGATAACGAAACAAAAAATCAGGGTAAATTGTTTGGGTCAAAAGCAAACTCACAGAGTTAGCAATTCTACGAAATGTTATCGCATACAGTAAACAGAAACAGTTTCAACAATTAAACCTATATTCCTCGTGGCCGAGGAATATATCACCCTGAAGACAGAAATAAGAGCGAAAACTGAAACAAGAAATCTGCTGTGAAAATCAATTTACATAGCGTATATTTTTTTGCATTGTTATGATAATATTTTATCACTTTTGTTTCTTTTCAGTTAAATTATAATCATTTCGTTTCGCCAGTATTGCATTGATTATGTTAGAGTAAAAGTCAGAGAACTTTCAATATGGTTTGCCTGCTACGTGTTATCATTTATGCGAGGGAATCCTTAGCATGTCAACTTATTTACGCTCACCCTTTGTTACAAAGAATATATATAAATATATGTCGACTGTTTTTCCGATTGCAGGTATGAACCGGTCAAACAACAACGAAGGCAGCCCGTCCTTAACCCCTTTACGCTGTAACTGTGGTCTGTTTTGCCCAAGTCTCTACACTAAAGTATCTCTTACATTTGCCTATGTTGTCTTACTAATAACAGCGAGTATAGGAAACATCCTGGTTTTTTTACTTCTGCGTAGATGCAAAAGTACAGCTCAAATGACCTTTAACTATCTTATCATGAATATGGCCGTTGGAGATATTATTGGAGTCTTCAGCTCAGCAATATTAGCAGTTTCCTTCACTTTTGTTGGTCATCATTGGATTTCAGGCCTATTTGGAGAAGTTCTCTGCAAAATGGTTCCTTTTGTTCTCACTCTGTCTATTTATTTGTCAATATGGACCTTAGTGGTTATGTCTGTGGATCGATACTTTTCAATTTCTCATTCTTCCAAGAAACCAATGAGTAGAAAAGTAGTAAAAAGAAGCATCGTCTCAGTCTGGTTCATCGCTGCCATGGCTGCCTCTCCATACCTATATAAGATGCAATTAAGAGAGACAAGTGATAAATCTGAGTGTCGTTCTCTTTGGAGTGAAGATCTTGAAAGGCATTTATTTATGAGTAGAGGTGAAGAGATCGTCAAGTTTGTTTTAACGTACGTTATTCCTTTATTTGTAATAGGGACAATGAATATCATAATCGGCCGTACTCTAAGTAGCTTGAAACCAATCAATGACTGTAAAATACAAGCGAAGAGAGCCAAACGTAATCGAAAGATTTACAAACTTTTAGTTTCAATTGTTTCGTTATTCGCCTTTTGTTGGGTATTTGCCCATGTAAACCATCTTTTGTCTGCTTTCGATATTGTTACCTATTGTAATCTTCCCGCTGCTGTTCCCTTTTTCTTCTTCTGGATTTCTCATTTAAATGCAGCTGGTAATCCCATAATATATGCTGTATTCAATAGAAGCCTTCAAAAAGGATTCAGGAAAACAGGGAAGAAAGGAGGTAGAAGGAGTTCATCCAAAAGAAAAGTATGAGACATGCAGCCGTCAAAGAGGAGTTCCTTGTAGGGGTTTAAAGAACTCTGGTTCGCAAAAAGTCTTTAAAATCAAGTGCAAAAAAAGAGGTGAAGAGCTTGATAATAATGAAAAGTAAGCTATGAGTATGCTATTATATATCTGACGACTTTCAAGATAGCTTTTTGCATTTTCACTCTAATTCAGTGATGCTATGATATCTGGCAGCAATTATCAACGTTAAGAGTACATATCTTGGGAAACCAACTTTCTCTCGCAGCTCCTATCTTTGTTACTCGTCATTCGTGATCTTAGTCAATTTACTACAAATCTTCTTCTCACAATCACCGTTTTTACGATGTGAATACCAGTTTCAATCTTTAATCCTTAACCCTAGTGGAGGCCTACTTTCTCCTGTCTAAGAAAAGACTCATTTCTTGCTTCTCTGTCCAGGAATACTTATAGTTGCGACGAAGAATTCCCTTCTATTTGTTCATTATGTTCATTTTTTTGAGGCTGTGAGATTCGTCTTCTGAGCACTCCAGAGATTCGTGGGGCTAAAATATTAATTAAGCACTTAAATTGTCACCCACTTCCCCATTTTCAGCCACACAAATGAATTGTTGTCCTTGAAAAAGAAAAACATGGAAAGTTGATTGAACAAATTAAAACCAGTTTTTGCATCTCAAATCAAAAGTGTATGCGTGGTACCGAAAAACATGTTGCTGGAGAAAATCTGCACCTTGGACATCCAACCAAAAGCAACGTCACAACGCTAAGAGAGAATAAAAAAGCCGCTCCATTTTTACTGCACATCGACTCACTTCTTTAACTTTAATAACAACTGTTTCCCAAATTTTTTAGATATTCTTAATATTTTGCTGTATTAGATTGAATCCGTATTTAAATTACAGATGAACGTGTACTGTGAAATATTCTCCTGCCCTTTGAAGTTACTTTAACTCCATTTGGCTCACACATAAAGGTCTGTCATAATCATTTAGTAAGTGGATGACTCTTTTAGCTACCGTGTCAGCCATGCTGGCATAATGTTTAATTATCTTAGCTTGACAATCACTAAATTTGCTTTTTAAGTCGTAGCACTTGTTCAGTTTCTCTGCATCACCACAGATCTTGTGATCGTTCATCAACAAAGTCACATAATACAGCACGCACTGCTTGTGGACACTCACTGCACACTCTTCGAAACTATCAAACTCTGTCAAAGAAAGGAGATGATTGCAAGAAAAAAATTAAGAAAGATCAGGAAAGTGAACTTTGGTAGAATGATATATATTATGTGAGCTCATCATTTCGATAGCCTGATTTCATCATTTTTATATTCATTTTGAGTTTACAGGTGATTCCAGAAATCTGATTGGTTCTTAGCAGTGATGTTTGTTCAGACACCGAACCATTTTTTGCTTTGAATGAATTATTTTCTTTTTCGGGGGCCAATCATATGATGAAACACTTAAACACAACAGCTTATATGATTGAAAGCTTCTTCCAAGTAATCCAAATTTCCGGATAATATTGTTACTGACCAAAACCCTACATTGGGGCGATTTCAGCGTTGGAAAAAGATTATAATCTCTTGACTAAATTAATTACCAAGGTGTATCAAATATTCCTGAATTGAAGACACTTTTATGAGTTAGCTAAAGGGTTTCCAACTTTATCCAGCTCGTCTTAACTCCTGCAAGGGCTTCCTTACATAATTCATGGAATTATCAGGAGTCTGCCTGACTTTATTGAAAGTAAAGTCATAAATAAGTTGTTTCGTTACCAAACTTTGTAACACAAATGAACTCATTACCGACATCGTCCAGTTGGCGATGGGTTTTAGCGACATCTACAAGAGAGGAAAAATGAAAAGAAACAATGGCTATGTACAATCAAAATTCATGTCAAGTTGTTTCGTTGAAGTGTTTTTTAATAATTTAAAACAATAATAGGCAAAATGTTTCGACCTTGCACAAATGATGCCAGGTTTGAATCGTCATTAGGTGGTAGACTTTTTTTACCGGAACCCAAAACTTAACATGCTGTACTTTTAATTCCAACTGATTCCTCCCAGAATTAAATTAGCTTTGAAATTAAAGGGTTTTTCAGATTTTTGTTTGGTTTTACGACATCCAATCGGAAACTGATAGGTGAACAGACCAATTAATCTATTCAAAACAATTGCTATAGTTTTTACCAACCTGTATCCTGCACCACCCTCCTGAGATTTTCGTATCTAATATCCTTGCAGATGTTTAAAGTCTTGTCCATCATAGCCATCTGCGCCATCCAATAACGGAACTTTTCAATCAGTTCGCCACCACAGTTGGGATTACTGGCAAGACATGTGACCATTTTCTGAGAGAAAAAGTGATTAAAACAAAGACTTTGCAGCGCCTTAGGCAACCTCTTCTCATATCCAGGAAGCGCTAGTGTGTAGGTGACTACAAAATATTCATAGAACTTTTCAAAATAGAGCTTCAATTATAACTGCCGTATGCGCCGACTTTCGCATAAAATTTTGAAGACAGAAAGTAACGACGGTATGTAGAAAATGGAATGAAACAGAAGAGGGAAACAGAAAGAAAAATGAATAAAACGAATGAACAACTGGAATTTAAATGAATGAATGTTGATACTTTAGGCTTACAAAATATGCTGACGAAACTGACTCATCATACTTGCAATCTGTAGCAGTGACCCTCTTCTCCTTTAGAACTGCTTCTCAGAGCTTCTTGGTAAACTGCTTTACACCGATTTAACAAAACAATCTGACACTGTTCGGTATTTGTAGCTGCCACAATAACTAACATGATGAGCGAGCTGGGTATCATCCAATCCTGTTTAACCATCTTTTTAAGGATGGTGTTATACACAGAAATGTTGTGATTGAGATCTATGAAAAGAAAAGATAATTAGAAAGAAATAACCAAACCAATGCCTTTGACAGGATTCAGATGAAGAATTCAGCCAAAATTTTGGTTGTTACGACCCTTGTCAACCCTTCCACCGGTAAGATCTTGATATGAATTCTTCTTCACATTGTCATTCATACTTTTCTTGTTATTCCAGAACCAAGAAATTAACTTCACTTTACATCAAACTACGTCTGTATTTCGACATTCATCTTAATTCATAATCCCTCGCTGCAAAAAATTTTTTCGATTTTGCCGGCAGAAATTCCTCTTTGGTTGCTCTTGGCATTGAAATGGTTGGTCCTCCTCATCCTGGAAAGCCTTCTTTCATCTTTAGCCTATGTCCTCTATTTTGAAGTCATCAAAATCATAGTTCTAGGCCGCCTTAGAAAGTCATTTGTAGGTGATAGCAAACGACTTAAATACTTTGACGCTGCTACAACTTTAGTCAGAAATTATATTCTTACGTGGGCTTTTCAAGAACTCCCTTCTTAGAAGCAATTTTGAAACCAACTACAGTTTATCTGAGTATTTCCAGGACTCTTATCGGCATTGTATTGGGAGTGCTGTTGACTATGTGTCAATTTTCAACCTTTCTGTCGGTGTAAGTGTCCATGGAACTTCTTGAGTGTTGTAATTCTCTCTTCAGCTCATGGTTAAACGCAATTTGTCGCGAAAGCTGGAACTATTTTGTCTGTCCGTCGATCAAGGCGAAGGATTATGGACTAAATTCTTTATCAATCGATATCGTAGGGATTTCTATTTTTTATGCAAATTGACAAAGGGAAGAGAATAAAACAACCTTAAAAAAAATTGTACTTGGCATTCAAAACTACTTTCTTGATAAACTCGAAAAGAATTTGCCAAAAAAATCTTCAAGTAATAATTGGTATCTTGCCTCAGCGCGTCAGAGCAAACTGCACATTTCCATTTGTGCTAAGGAAAGTTCCAATTTTTATACATTAGATACCAAAAGTTAAAAGATCGAACTATTTATGTTCATTCTAGGTAACAATCAAAGTTTATCAAAACAAAATTTCATGTTATCCACTGGAAGAGTCATTTTTCATGTCAGAATTAAATCTGCCGCATGATGACAAGTGTTCGAACGAGTGACATTATTATAATTGCTACACCGTCTCTTACCTGTAACTTTGCTGCCCTCTACTGAAGAGATCTCTCTGCCCTTCAAAAAATATTCGACGAAGTGATTAATCAGGCAGGACCAAAAGCTCAAAGAATCTACCTAAGTTAAGATTCTTTTTAATTAAAATCTTAATCGTACAATTTGTGATAAAAGTTTGCGCAAGGGATCAGTTCCACTGTAAGGTTATAAAAGGTTTTGCGCCGATTTGCGACGGTAAACAGGGATCTATTGGGGAGGCCGTGACAAGTTAATAAAAAATCGTCCCTGTTCCCAAAGGTGAAACAGAAAGTTCGGGTTTCTACCCCTTTTCAAGCGTTCAAGATGTAAGGGTCCTTCTCTACAAAAAGGCGTCAATATTTGTTTCATTGTAACTATTGAATTTAAGAGCGAAATAAGTATCTCTTAATTAAATACAGATGCTCCTGCTTGTTTGCTTTGTTTTGTTTTGTCTTTAAAGAGAATATTCTGAAAGCGCTATTGCTTTTCACATTTTCATTTTATAAGTCGAAATATAGTTTCCTCCTTTCCAGGTTAAACATAAAACCTGCCTTGTTACCCTCGTTTTTCTTTTTTGTCCATGGGCAGAGTAGCGGAGAAATAAAGAATATAAAAAAATAAATGTGATTTTCAATCAAAATTGCACGCAAATGGTGAAACTAAATAGAGATTTTAAGAAGGAAATTAAACCAAATAACAAAGCGAGCAAATGAGAACGATAAGAAATATGTAATAAAAATGAGCGGTGATTACTTCCGAGAATGTTGAGAGGGAGCGAATCGTCAACAGTTTATATAGAGTTGTTATTTTATCTTCGCTCAGTTCAAAAGGATGTTTTTGGTTCATAGAAAATAAAAATAACGAGGACAATTAAAAGCAATCATTAGTGTTTCTACAACTGAAAACTGACTTTTCACTTTCTTCCAGAGTAACTTAAAGATTGACAGATAAAGAGGTTATTACTTTCATTTACCTAGATTGCTGCTTTACTCAAAGTTCTCTTCCTTATTTTACAAAATTCAGTATCTTGGCGATCGCGACCATTGTATGTGACATAATTCTTTCTTCTTGGACAAGGAGGGTCATTTTCAAAGCTTTTCACTCGCTTTGAAAAAATTTGATGCCGACAGAAACTTCTGCGCGAGGTACGCTTGAACTCTATAACATCATGAACGAGACTGAATTAGAGCTGACACCAGTTTTTTATCAGAAGAATTTAGAAAAGCTGAGCGAAGCCCGTAACTACTTTTTTCCAGTCGTCAATAAGGAAAGGAAAAAATGAATCGATCATAATTTAAATTATACTTGAATAATGGTGATATGAGAAAGGAAAGAAGAACTAGCAAAGAAGCGCTCTAGAGGACCCCACTAACTCAAAACGTATGCAAATTGTTTCATTGAGGTTTATGGACCTGGCTGTTTCCATTAACGCTAAAAAGAGCAGCTCACGTCAACAAATCGACCCCACGTTTTTAAGAAAAGTAGGTTTTCCTTTTTTCTGTGACAAGCGGTAAACACCATAGCCACAAAAAACAAGGTTGATTGGCTGTTGAAGAACCTGTATTGGTCTATAAAACCAGCAGTTTATGCAGGTGCTTGTAGATACAATAAAGTGTCAAGCACTGTACGAGGTACTGAACAAATATCCTCGTTAGCATACGAGCGCCATGCTGAGAAAATCTGCACTCTCATTGGTAACGTGGCAATCATTTGCAGACCGACAGAAGAGCGGTTTTCACGTTCCTACTTTTATGCACTGATTATTACTTTTGATGGAGAAGCAAATGGACCGTTAAATTTTCATATCCTACACGTTTAAACGTGGAGGGCCTTTATCTGAATCCCACGTTTTGCTCGGAATCTCGACTACTGAATTGATGTTCTTCCTTAAGGCTTGTAGCACACGCGATATGAATCCCACTGAATAGTTATTCTTTACCTTTTGTTGGTAGTTGATGGTGTGTGTTCGTTTTTTATAAAAAAAAGAGTACGATGGAATTACAGACATTGTCGTTCTTCCGTATCCAATTTTCTTGGGAATAACTGCGTCCCGAATGTTGACAAAAGTTGGCTTTTGACTTGCGCCCTCGTTATTCAGATATCAACTATGCTTACCTTAAACAATAGAAAAGTCCGACGGGTTGACAAGTGAAGAAAAATTTTCTTCCCAGCTATTATTTGGAGAATATACCGATTCTATTTCGCTTAATACGAATTTCGTGTTTTTCTTGTCAGCTCTTAAGGTATTTCGCTCACTCAGTATCGTCCGACAAGGAAAAACGGGAGTAAACGATCAGCTGACGTAAGAGAGAAATCAATGTTGTTCGGCTAACATCCGGGATCCCGATCGAGAAAAATGTAAGCGCTTTTCAATGATTTAGTGGTAATATGTAATGCTGACCACACATGAATTAGCCTTTTTATTTGTTGCGATGCTCAGTAGAATTAAAATACTGCTCAAAGGCAATCACAAAACTGCCACGGCGAATCTAATGTTGTGGCCGGTCGCAGATCGCGGGTCGCGGGTAAACTGTCGCGGGTCGCGGGTAAAGCTAACGTGGTGAACTCAAGCGAAGTTTTTTGGATCAAGCTGACGGCTACTCTATGAGTAAGCCACCCTGTTTTGAATTTTAATTGTGGTTTCAGATTTTGACAATTTTTTTGCCACAATACTGCTGGGAGGTTGTAAATCAGTTTAAGATCAGTGTGCTGCTGACACAAGTCATACTCGGGCAAAAGTAAAGTATAGTTTCGGTGGTCCTATCTTTTAAACAAAGAGTGCAAAACTTCAATTTTGTCCATATCCCGCCGCTTTAGGATATTACGGGCACTTTGAAGCAGCTACTAACGTAAGCAGCGCCTAGATAGTGATAATTAGTTGTGTAAGTTATTTCAGGTGTTTTGTAAACACTTATATTGTTTAAATGCTCTGCTTAGGGAATTTATAGGATGGAGACTTTTGCAGCGTGGAAATGATGACATGACATGGATTAGTTTGATTTTTTTTAAATCATCAGCCATAACTTGCTATTACGGTTGTTACTTTTATATTCGTCTGTTTTGCGCGGTAGAGTTACTGTACTCAAGAGAATATCTCGCCGTACACCGGTGTAAATACTTTTTCGCTGGCTGATCTGGATAAAATTGAATATTTTGTTTACATAATTATGTCGTAGCACATGTAATTTATCATACCTATTAATACAGCAGAGTATAATAGGCCCCGCTTAGCTCTTCTGCCCTACTACAGCTACAGTGACAAATAGTTTTGATGTGCAAATTTAACTGCGTTTCATGTATCCAAGAAAACCCGAGCGTCTATGGATTATGCTCAGCCTTTATTATACAGTCATCCGTTTGCCAAAGTCATAAGGGGGCCACTTGACAACCACCAAATAGTCTCGAGCCCTTTTCCACATGGGAAGAGTCCTTTGATTGGTGAGCTTTACCCGTACATATATTACATATTGATATTTCAGGCCTAAATGAAGGCTTCGTCGACTAGATATATTCGTAAACATTTTGTCTCAAATTATATGCTTACCATTCAATTGAAATCAAGTTTCTGATGGACTTAGAATCTTCCTGGTAACTTGTTCCATTTACCACAATGTTATTAAGTATGCAACAGATGTCTGCATGATTACTAAAATTAAAATCATGTCTTTCCTTCGTATCATTTAGCTCGCTCAGTATAATTATTTTAACCTTCACTTTCAATATGGCCTATATTAGCGCTCGGATCTTAACCGTTGTCTTGATAACGATCAAATTTTTATAATATCATCATCATCATCATCATCACTATCGTCGTCGTTGTCATTTTCGT